TTGAGTGATGTTTGAGTATGTCGAATAAAAAGGACAGAAACAACATATAACTAAAAACCCGAGGTGACCGAGGTGTTGCAGCTCCCAGACTGTGGAACAGCCTCCCAGTACATATGGGAGAATAGACCCCTCAGCTCCGGTGTGTCTCACTCATTAACAACGCACTGCTGAGTCTATTGAACTTTTTAAATCTCAGCTAAAAACTCACCACTTTGCACTGGCGTTTAATACTAGTTGAATATTCCCATTGTGTTATTTCATATTGTAGTTATTGCCTGTACAGCACTTTGGTCAACTGAAGGTTGTTTTAAATGTGCTATATAAATTAATAAAGATTGATTGAGATATACTTTGTCGAAAAAATTGTAAAAAAAGTCATGACAAAATAACGTCATATTTGATGTCGAAATAAGGCACTGTATAGTATGTCATTAAAAATGACAGAAATTACATAAAATACTATGTCGAAAAAATTGAAAAGAAGTCATAGTATGTGGAAATATTTGAATGTTGTCCAATGTGTTAATTTGAACAAACTAGCTTAAGGTTCATTCAAATCAATTACCTCTTCGGTTACAATACCACGTAGTTTAGTAATATTATTTGAAATGGTAATGTCCTGTCGAACAACCAGACAGTTTGTGAAGCAGCGCTCCAAGCACTCACTCGCAGAGTCCGGCCTGCCCCGGCTGAGTCTGGTGTCCACACGGGGAATCAATCGGCCGCCCTGCTTCATCCTTCTGCTCCATCACACCACACGCATCTGGGTGGCAGAGGAGAAGCAAAGGCAACATATTATACATTCATTCAAACAAGATTAACATGTTTATTTTATTGTTAAAGTATTACAGTAAAGGGAAAACCTTTGTCTCAGAAATAGATTTGGGTGAAAGTGAAAGTAGACAATAGACAAGTTTTACCAGTTTGAGCTCCATTAGAGGGATCTGTGTTGAACTCCACAGCGCGCTTCTGAGGAGGGAAAAGGCAAATTAACAAACATCCTTTTAACATTCAATACAACAACAGCTGATCATTTATTTATTAAAACAGGAGGAGCATTATTGTTGTGAGTTTTTTCTTCTTTTCCGTCTTTGTTTTGCATCAATATTCCAAAGTAATGTTCAGTGTTTCCCACAGAATTAGATTCTATTGTGGGGGCACCGCATCCCCCCCCCGGCAAGAAAAGCCAAAGGCCCCTTAACCTATTCGGGTGGCCCACGCATCCACCCCCCCTCAAATAAGAACATACATGGGAGTTCATGGCTACTGTAGCTGACAACGTTCTTGTTGCTCTGTGTTGCGTTGTTAATGAGTGAGACACACAGGAGCTGAGGAGCTGAGGGGTCTATTCTCCCAAAGATATCATTTAACAGCAGACGCCTTAATCCAAAGCGACTGACCAATTACAGGGACATTCTCCCCGGAGTAAGTGAGGGCTAAGTGCCTTACTCAAGGGCACACTAGTAGTGGTGTTCCAGGCGGGATTTGAACTCGCAACCTTCCGATCATCAGCCCACCTCACTATCCATTAGACCACCAAAATAAAAAATAAAAATAATATTTTTTTTTTTTATGAGATCCACAAATAAATCAATGTACGGGAAACACTGATGTTGTATTTTCAAAGATGTTGTGGTTGATATTATATTTTGTGACAAAAGCCAACGTATGAGTACCTGCAGCAGGGCCTGCAGTCGGGGGGGTTCCCAGTCTCTGAGGTAGAACAGACAGTCCCGGGGGTGATGAGCATGCAGGCCGTTGCAATTGCAACGGGGCATTTTACAAATTGTCTGCAAGAGAATTACAACAAGAAATACAGGAGCATGTTTTGATGCCGTCAAAAACGTTCCAGTCCTTCCAAGAGAAAAACAAATTGAAAAGGATTGCCAGATAAAAAACTACTGAGAGACTAGCAGATGTTTAACATCTTGTCAAAAAATGAAGACACAACTAAGCATGCAACTAAAGACATGACAGAGAACAGACAACACTTAACAGTTTCTGAACTACCAAACGATACGTCTAAAAAATGTCTCTAAAAATGTAGATATTGCCTTTTTGAAGAGTAATTATTTCTGATGTTTTTAAGCACATAAATCAATTAGGAGTCTGTTAAAACTTGAATGAAGACGTGTCTCTTGAGAAGCTCACCTTGTGGTAGGGGTTGTTGCAGCCGCTGCAGAACTGGTACCTGCACTGGGAGCAGCTGAAGTGCATGCAGCCGCCTCTGGTCAGAGCGTACTGGAACTTGCATTGAGGGCAGGCTGCGAGAAAACACCACATACTGTCAATGTATGTATTCCAAACAGAGGTGAGGTGTCATGTAACAAAGTACATTATCAAGTAGTTTACTGATATACAGGTTTAAGGTAAGTGAGACTTGTTGTGCCACTTTCTACTCCACTTGAATTCAACAGAAAACTAAATCAGAATAATGGTTACAAACTGCTGTATGGCTTTTTGTAAGTACACGCCTTTTAAATATACATTTTGTCCTAAATTAACCTGTTCAAGGAATGATAGTGGCTAGAGTTGTGTGTCAACCACCCATCCATGAGTGTGGTGGTTGAGGTTGATGTACAAACAAAGGTCAGGTGGTTATGTGGTGAGTGTGTGTGTGTGCTCACTGATGCCGTTGTCCCTCAGGAACCCGGCCAGGCCCTGCCTCTGGTACTCGGGGTCATTGTCCCTCTTCCACTGCTGGAACTGCTCACAGGACAGATCCTGGTGCTGGGGCTCCCACTGACAGCAGAGAAAACAGAGACTTCATGAGAGAGCGCCTCCTCCAAGTCAGTCCACTGAAGAGCAGCCGACGTTTCAAGGCTGAATTCCTAAACAGTATGAAAAGCTAGACGGGAAGACGAATGGTTCCACACTCAGTTATACTCACAGCTTTCTTGCAGCGAGCGCACAGACTCTTGTTGCAATGAGGGCAGGTGACCTTCAGCTGGTCTCCATCATTGATAAACCCAGAGATGCACTGAGGAGGCAGAACACATATTCACACCTCCTCCTCTAGTGTACATACGAATGATTTAGTGTCCTTTTATGTACGTTATTATTATACTCTTATCCTTTACAATCTCTTTTTCAGATGAATGCATCACATAATAATTGAGTGTTTCATTTGTTTGTGAGGACTAAAACACAATACATCATTGTGAGGGAATAATTCTGTCTTTACTCCTAAGATATTTAACCTTATTGCCTGTTGACGTTAATAACCAACCCTGACTCTGTTATCTCCTTTAAAGGGGACCTATCATGCTATATTTGAATAATATATTGTAGGGCCATACCTATATAAGGTATATTTATAAGTTTTATTTTTCAAAATACCAAACAGATCATGCATTTTAGCCATGCCTCATTTTGCCTCACTCCAGCTCTGTCTTTGCGTGAGCTGGAGCTGACAACCCCCCCATGCAAAGGAGGGGGCGAGGCACAAGCGTCATGTTACTATGCTGTTTCCATGCTGTTGCTATGCTGTTGCCATGCCACGGCAACCTCTCATTCCCCTGATAGGTGGAGAGTTGACCATACAGGCGGAGTGCACCTCTGTGACATCATAGAGGTGCAAATCAGAATCCACATGTATCAAATTCGTTGCAGCCCTGTTTTTAGAGATTTGGGTATGGAGGAAAAGAGAGAGGGTTGTACTTTCTGACACTTGGTGAGTTCCCTGGAACACCGGGGACACATATTCATGTATAAAAGACGTACAAAAGTGCATTTTGCATGATAGGTCCCCTTAAAGAATGTGCTGCTGCACTTATTCTCAGTTTATGACCGGTCAACTCTCGGCCGCAGAGCCTAAGAGTGGCAAGTGATTCAGCGTCTCAAGATGTTGGGGATATCTCCAGTGTTCCCAGCTGTTGATTAACTCTCTGTAAACTAGTTAAAAGGTCTATCGAGAGAGAGAGAGGCTGGGCAGAATTGATGTGGCAACCCACCCGTGCAGTCAGAACCTCTGGCTGCTGTGAAATTCTCCGGCC